AGGGAATAAAGTTTTGTGCCACCGATGAAAATACATCTAAATGGCCTACACAGGGTTAGGGTAGGAGAGTGAAGGGGAACAATAATAATCATTATGGCTCTTTACGATATATACAAAGTCTCATGAGATCCTAATAATCAGCTTACCAGTCAAGTAGGGTATTATCATGCCCATTTTATAGAAAAGGGAAATGAGACTCGGGTAACAGGACTTACCCAAGTCACCCACATCTAAGTAGCAGAACCCAGAATGGAATCTAAGTCTTCGAAATCCAAGACCCAGTTTCTACTTCTAAGGTCCCCATTAATCCCACAGCCCAAATGAGTTAACTAATCAAGCTCCCATTGCAAAGTGGCATAGTTATCACTGTTAGGAGTTGCTCAGCTACGAAAAGTTCCTCACCAGCCCCCAAATCTGAAATGCCATTACTAATTTGTTTGTAATTTAACGGGTAGACATGCATTGAGTATAAATAAACTGAGCATAAAGTTACCCATCTCCACACCTTTGTGCATACTCTACTCAGCCTGAGATGCCCTTCTCCACCCTATCTGCACTGGAACCAACTACTCTTCTTTCAAGATTTGTTTCAGGCATCATCGCCTCTGTAAAGCCTTTCTTGGCCCTGACACATAATTGAACACCCTCTCCTTTGTGTTCTACACAACGTCTCCAAGGCGTTGTGGCACTTCTTTTGGTAATATGTGTCTCCCCCACCATTCCTTTTAAATCGCGTTATTCTAACACAATGCTGTTCAGAAGGTAGGCGCTTAATGTATGCTTATTGATGGACTGAATATATTCATCTGGACCAATTTCCCTTCCGAGGCTTGAATATCCTCTGCAAACTGCCACTCACTAATTCATGCATACATATATTAAAAAATACCTGAGTGTCTACAAAGTACCAGGCACTGCACTGTGTATCAAACAGAAGTGGGTTTACCATGAAGTCTGAACGTCAGGGCCCCTCCCCTGCCCTCCTCCAAAGCTCTGAACCTTTTTTTTTTGTGACTTTGTATTTTTATTTCTTAAAGAGGACAGAAAGAACTGTATAAGCTTCAAGCTCCACAAAAACTAGATCCACCCTTGGTGCCAAGGATCCAAAAGTGAACCTGGCAAACTTTATCTCTCCCCTTACAGAGTTTCCTGTGTAGTGGGGAAGGAGACAACCATTTGTTCATTCATTGATCCAACAAACATTTACTAAGCAATGCTATGAGTCAGGCTTCGGGGATTCTGAAGTGAAGCCAACACTGTTACTGCCTTGAAGGAGTAGGTACCTGCTCTCCCGAACGAAAGCCTGCTGTGTTCAGGGAACAGAAAGTAGTTTAGATGGCTGTAATAGAGAGTGTTTGTGAAAGATTATCCTAAACCAGTCTCAAGACAGACCGGTCCCTGGCACGAACCCTAACCTATTGCAGGAGGCAAGAAGGGACAGGTCAGCCGAATGTGATCTTGGATCTCAGTGCGGGGTGGGGGAGGGGAGGGGGCTGAGACAAGTAAACAGAAGAGATAAATACACTGTGACTGTAGTCAGTGCTGCGACAGGAAAGCAAAGGACGGTGGGGGAAGCTTCGCCTGCGTTCAGGTCTGCAGTGACGGCAAGCTCATTACCTCACAAAGCAGCCCATGTACGTTGCAGACATAGTTCCGAGCTCCCCAACATGCGGCCCCATTCCTCGACCTAAGGCTGCTCCTTTCCAAAGACAGCCGTCGACTCTCTGGGACCAACTCTCCTGACCGCCCTTGACACCACCTTCTCCAGGCGCTTCCCTCACCCACTGCTTACGGGACAGAGTCCGGTTTGGGGTCTGGGGTCCCTGCCGCGGGTCCGCCCCCCTTCTCCAGCCCGCCGTTTCCATAGCAACCAGCTCACCACTTCGCGCGCCCGGCTGGAGAAGTCGCCCTTAGGCCGGGGGCTCCGGCGGAACAGCTCGTCGCGGCTGCCCTCGACCCCGCCGCCCACCGCCACTCCCAGCGCTTTGTTGCGCGTCTTCACGGTCTTGACGCTAGCCCGGAACAGCAGTGTGATGTCCACAGCCATGGCGACCCACTCCCACGGCCCCCACCAGGCCGCCCACGTCAGCAGCCGGCGACCGCGGCGCGAACTGGGCGGCTGGAAGACCGTTCCGTTTCCGCACGCCTCCGCCCACCAACGGCGACACGAGAAGAAAGGTTCCGGCCCGCCCGGGGCTACGGCGGCGAGAGGAGAAAGGTTCCGGCCTCCGCCGGCGCGCGTGCCCATCCCCTCGGCGACCCGGACCCAGCGACGCTCACACCCGCGCCCGTTTCTCCTCCCGGCAAACTTTGGCTGACTTAGCCGCGCGCGGAGGTTTCAGAGTCCCGAGCCCTCGCGAGCTCGCTTAGGGCGTGTAGGCCCCAGGACCGAGGGGATCGGGAAGCCGGAAGGCTGGCTCCGTTCTCTTGGCTCCCTGTTGCGCGGGTTGCGAGGGCACAGGAAAGGACCTAGCCTGACCCAGACCTCGTGAACCCACCTTGTGCGGGACCGAAGCACGTGGGCGGTGACCACCTGGGTGCAGTAAGTGCTAGGGTAGAGCAGGTGTGCACGGCAGAGAGCTAGAGGCCAGAGGCCTTTCTTTTCCAACCGTCACCCACCTGATGTGTAAAATGAAGCCAGCACCTTCCTCAGCGAGATAAGACGTGCGAAGTGTTTTGGCGTTGCTTGGCTCCTAGAGACCAATGAAAGTTACCGTTGTTAATAATAACATTATTGTTAACATTCTTGTTATCAGTTATGGTGGGGAAAGCTCTATAGAGAAGGCATCAGTCACACTGTAGAGAAGGCAGATTTGAAGAATGACTAGGAATTTATCAGATGGAGACAAGGACAGAAGAGTTTCACTGGTTTCTGTTCTTCCTCATGTATGGTTTTTAAATATACCATCTGAAGTCATAGTTATTTAAGTCGACTGAAAATTAGCCAGTGAGTTCTTTCTACATTTTGGTTCGAGGTTCAGATCTAATTCAAGATCTTTGATTTTATCATTTGTTTTCTTTTTTTTCTAAAGAGGATGCACAACTAGAATATATATTAAAATGTGGTTGTCAAAGAGTGGTAGGCAAAATAAAAAATTATTTTCATATCAAGATGTTATTTATCTTTTCACTCTTATTTATTCTCTCATAAGTTGTGCACAATTGGGTTTCCCAGAGGCTGGGTGACTTGTGATATTGCAAAACACTGAATGCAAAACAGCTGTCTTCTATTAGGTCAGACTTTAAAAAGATTTGGAAAAATGTAAAACAGTGCCATTCTCACTAAGTTGTGTTAGAAATGCTTTTTTTTTTTTTCACAAAAATATACCACTTATGTTAATATGTAATGGGTTTACCTTTACTTTTAACTGAATGCATATTTTAAATTTTTGTTTAAATTTCTAATACAGTAAATATCCATAGCTAAAACCCATATAAACGAAAGCTGTTTTAGGGCCCTCAATTTTTAAGGGTGTAAAGGAGTTCTGAGACCAAAAGTTTGACACCGCTGTGTTAAATATGTTTATCAGAAATAGATGTTAAGAAACTACATAGGTACCTGGAAGGAAGAAGGAAAATGGTATTTAAAACCCACACTGTAGCCACTTCAGCCTTCCCTTATGAGGAAAATAAATTTTCATACAGCTTTCTTCCACCAACAGAGTAAGGGAGAGAGAATAAGACAGAAATTACTAAATCTCTGCCAATGATTCTGCCTTGCATAAGTGGCCCTTTGTCTTATCGAGACGTTAATGAGTCTTTGGCTTATGCGAAGATAAGTCTGGGGCAGAGTAGAAGGAGAGTTAAATCACCCTGCATAATAAAATGAACAGGACTGAATTAAGGGTGAGAGGGAGGAACCAGAACCCAGGGAAGGGGCCAGGAAAGGAGATAGTAGCTCCCTGGGTAGGGTTTTTGAGTGGGAGGGGGCTGAGCTACACCAAAGCTTCAGTGAGTAGTGTGTTTGGTGAGGTTGGGTTTTTTGGGTAAAAAGTTTGGGAGAAAGGTCTAAATCTTCTGTCTGCCTCTGCAAAGAGCAAAGAAGATTATGGAGATGAGACCCATGTGAGCTCAAAACATCAGGCTCTAAAACCACAAGTGACCACAAGCACCTAAGACTCCTAGAAAAGTTACAAAGATCTTGAGGAGGCCCTTGGATGTCCCACAGACCATGGGATATGAGCTGTTGCATTTTTATTATTTTATTTTACTCTCTAACCTCAAAGAGCAAGGTCACTTCAGTTGACCATGGCCTAACGGGAAACCCCATAAAGCTGAGAGGGGATGTGGATAAAAAGGAAGAACAGAAGCATGGTGGGAGTGTATTACAAACTTCCAAGTTTGAAGTGGTACATAAACTACATTTCATTAGTAACAATGTTTCATTCATTAGGCTAGGCTCTCTACTCTTGAAAAACAGTAGGGCATATTGGCATTACCAAATAGAGTTCCCTATAACAGCACCCTCCTTACAATCAGGATAGATGTAGGCAGCTTAGAATCATTTGGGGAGTCTCATGGAAGTCATTAAATGCAGCCTCCACCAAAAAGAGGGTATATTGCCCAACCGGGTGCCCAAGCCATGACAGAACTGTGCTGTCAGTTAGAAATAGACATGTAGTTGTCAGCCACCGAGGTTTTGTCATCGTTGCATCCTTTAGAGACGTTGGTTTTCTAGCCCTACTACCTGGGGAAAGTTGGTGTAAGCTGGCATTTGCTGTATGGAGGAGGGTGCCCAATGCCTGGAAGTGTGAATTCCTGCAGGCAGCGTGGGGAGACCAGTTTTCTGGGTTCATGAAATCATGGACTTGCCACAATAATATAGTAACTGGAGACCCTCCTTGGTGGTCTGTTTCATTGTTCACTCATATTCATGGCTTCTCCTAGGGGAGGATTATAGTTCCTTTACCTATTGACAGCTACTTGACCAGGTGGTTCCCTTTAGCCATGAAAAGTGACGTGTTGGTTCTGGGCAGCAAATTTAAGAGCTAACATGTGGTTCACTGATCTCTTCTCCCTCTGCCTTGGCAACCTGTAATGTTCCATTGGGTCATCAACCTGGGTTCCCTGAGTAAAAATGACATGGAGCACAGCCAACTAAGGACGTGTGCTGGCAGTGAGAAGTAAGCCTTCGCTCTACTTGTCCATGGAGATTTGGGGTTGTTTGTTACTGCAGCATAATTATCTCATCCTGACTGATACACCGCATATCCAGAAATCTGCCAAAACAGACTATTGGGTACATTCATCAATTACCAACATTACAGTGTTATCTCTCAGCAGGTAAAGGACAGAGAGGAAGGAACTACTAGATTACACCTAGATCTAACCAATAGAAAAGACCTGGTTAGGAGCATTAGAGTGACAGAAACCCTGGAAGGCTGGCCATGCCATGGTAGAATTCACAATGCAAGAGGAGAGGACTTGGAGAGCATGTGTTTTCACTTTAGAAAGTGGACCTAACGAAATTCATAAAACAATTTTTTTTCCTCAGGGCTTCTAAAAAGGGCTATGACTCTAGGGATGGGAAGCTCAAAGAATAAACTTGTTCCTAAGGAGGAACCTAGCTAAAGAAAACAGGGTGATGGAGAAATTGAAACCCTTGTACACTGTTGGTCGGCATGCAGAATGGCGCAGTCACTATAGAAAACAATATGGAGTTTCCTCACAAAATTAGAGATAGAACTACCACATAATCCAACAATTCTGCTTCCTGGTATTTATCCAAAAGAATCAAAATTGGGATCTCAAAGAGATAGTTACACTTCCATGTTCATAATAGCAGTATTCACAAGAGTTCAGACATAGAAACATCCTAAATGTCCATTGATGGATGAACAGAAAAAAAAAAAAAAAAAAGTAGCACATACATAGAGTGGAATATTATCCTTTTTTTTTTTTTTTGAAGGAAATCCTGCAATATACAACAACACAGATTAAACATGAGGACATTATGCTAAGTGAAAGAGACCATTCACAGAAGGATAAATACTGCATGATTCCACTTATATGAGGTATCTAAAATAGTCAAACTCATAGAAGGGGAGAAAAGAATAGTGGTTGCCAGAGGCTGGGGGAGGGGGAAATGGGGAGTTGCTAATTAAAAGGTATATAATTTCAGTTACACAAGATAAATAGGCTTTTGAGACCAGCTGTACAACATTCTGCCTACAAATAACAATCTTCTTACAACCTATCACTCTGACATCAACTCTGCTCCTCCCTCTTCCACATGTAAGGACCCTTGTGATTACACTGGGCTCACCCGGGTAGTCTGGGATAATCCCTGGAGGACAGCTTTAATTTCATCTGCAACCTCAGTTCCCCTTTGCCAAGTAACATATTCACACTTTCCAGGGATTAAGGCTTGGACATCTTTGGGGGGCTATTATTCTGCCTACCCCAGCGGGGTAGCTCCAACAGAAAGGAGGACTGATTATGAGCTGGGCAGACACCTCTTGCCTTGTCTTCCTGGATGGACAGAGAGATCCACCTATTCTTTTTCCATTTCTCAGACAATGTTTCCAGCGCTGCTCCTTGAAACATTCCAAGGGTCTAGAGAAATAAGGAAAACAGAATCTCTGCCCTTAAACGATTTAATCTAGCAGGAGGCTTTCAGATACCCGAAGTACCAAGATTTCCTCAGAAATCTTCTAGCCCCTTCCACCTCTCTTAAGGAAAGTATCCTACTTTGTTGAACCCATTTCAGAGGACTCAACTTGCAACAATGCAATCAACAGTTACCAAAGTTCAAGTCCTCTCTCTCCCCTCACCCCACAGCTTTGCAAGGTTGGTGACACTTCCTCCCAGCACTCACTCCGTCCACCCCAGGCGTTGGGTAAATCACTTCATAAAATACATTTACTGGTTTCCCCAATGTAATGGTAGAAATAAACTGCTCGGTACACACTTGTCAGCTTCCTCCAGAAAACTTCTGCTTCATTTTGTTGGCATGGCATCTTGGTTTCCAGCCTGAATTTCCACCACCTTTGCTCTTCTGACAGTATCTTCTGTAATGAAGGTGGCCGAATCCTCCACTTTTTATTAAGTCAGACAGCAAATCACAGAATAAATGCTTTCCCTTGCACTTTAAAAGGATTTAATAGGAAAATATTTTCTTAC